GGAGGGAGTGGATGGGGCCTTTGTCAGTAACTCAGAAGTTACCAGAGTAGTTTTTTTTGGCACCACTTTTCCATCATAAAATCAGCTGGGCCCACCCTCCCTGGTTCAGGTGTTAGACCTGCAGGTCTGTGTGCACTGCTTACAGCAGATACAGCCGAACAGTGGGGTGCTGCAGCTGCCAGCTCTAGTGATCCAGGTTCTGGGCAGGTGGAGAGGGTCTAAATCTATCTATACCCATACTGCTGACTGTAGCTTGAAAGCCAAATATACAAACTTTTGCCAAAAGCAGAAATGCCTGACACAGTGCTGCTGAAGCCTTAGTGTTTCTGAACTGCAGGGTCCAGGCCAGTCAAAGTAGAAGCACCTATTCTTTGGTCTGTTATGCTGAGAACTTGCTTATATGGTGACACAACTTGTGGAGTGGGATTGGCTCTCGCTTCATCAGTTTGGAATGTGAAGAGGATGAGATCAAGTCTGTGCATATGTGACTATATAGATATGTGCTTCTTGAGACTTGAGGATTAAGAACACAACCTCTTAAAAGGTTGGTTTGCATATAGAGGATGAGTGTAATTTTTGTTTTTCCAATATCTGAACTTCTGAAAATTTTCCATCCCTTTAAAAGAGATTTACACTGAATCAGTCTCGCATTTGTAGGTCACATGATCTCCAGCCAGTCTAATGCTGAACCTCACTTTGATAATTTTTACACACTTGTGCCCCACGCATTTTCTTTTGTTCTGTGTCCCAGCCAGGCATAATGATGGGTCCTCTTACTACTGTGAAGAGATAAAGAACCTCAGTGGGCTGACTTGCGCTCACTAGTGCTACTCAGTGCATTGCCCAGCAGGGTGTGTCATGGAATGGTGGCATGGATATCTTCATGACATGGTTGTTGGGCTCCCTTAGCTTCTCCTCAGTGTCTTTAACTTCCCTCATACATTCGGTGGTCTGAAGGAGACCTGGTATAGGTACAAACTTGAGGCCATGTGGCAAAAGCCTACCCATAAAATAAAAAGAGCTCCTCATCAGATTCCTTCTGAAATTAGCTATGCAGACCATCCACAGTTCCGGGAGGAAGAAGTTTGACAACAGGAGTCTGGGCAAGTGTAAGGTCTGTTTCTGTCTCTTGGTCACCTTAAATCTCTGGTCAGTGTTGACCAGAGCCTTCTGAGATCTTTCTTAAAGCAGTGGGTACTGTGTGGAGCCCTCTCCCTCAATAGTTATCTCCAGATTCATATTTCAACATTCTTCTTTCACATACACACTTTATTTTTTTTTAATTCTGCTCTGCAATTGTTGAGTTCTCCCTCATTTGTTGTAACTCTTCCTCCCCTTTTTGGGAAGTTTACTTTCTTCTAAAAGAGTATTCCTGGCCACTCTTCTATTGCTTCTTTACTCTAAATTCCCCTTCTCTAAATCAAGACTTACCTTTTCTTTACCACAACAGCAAGCATTGCTTTCTTGCAATCTCCAAATAGTGTGGCAGTTTCTTTCTAACAAATTTAAATATCTGACATGTGTGTTTCCTCCTTTCTGCTACTCAGGTATTTTTAGAGGATTTAATGGAAACCTTAAAATATAATTCAGTACTTTGTTTTGTCAGGGTATTTAACTATTTGAGAGAGAAATTAATTTCTGTATCATTTTACAGACACTCATAGATCAGTGCCAGAAGATGGAAGTGGAACTAAGCTCCGTGAGGGATGCACTAGATGCGGAGAGACAGGGGTCTCGGGATCTCAGGGAGAAGATGGAGCTGGAACTAGCTGAGAGGAAGCTGTCTTCCCATCGCTTGCAGGAGGAGGTGCAGTGTCTCTCAGAACAGCTGGAGGAGGCAAGAAGAGCACAAACCGAACTAGAGGTGAAGTATAAAGACCTGGAACAGGAGCACAGGCTGGAGGTGGAAGAGAAAAACCGGCTGCTCAGTTGTCTTACGGTGGCTGAACAAGAGCTGCGGTGTGGCCACGCTGTCCTTGGAGCGGAGAAGGACCAGCTGAAACAGGACGTTGGCCAGCTCTTGGTGCCATCTGTGGTACATGGAGCTGCAGCACACAGACCCCTGGGTGAGCAAGCATGGCAGTTAGGTGGAGCAGGTTCTCAGGAGCCCGAGTATCACTGGGCTGCCTTCTTTTTGGCTTTGTTTTTTATAACAGCTCATAAGAATGGCTTGATGTTAACAGTTCCTAATTTTACAGGGACATAGGCGTGGTGGTGCTATCTCAAACTAAGGGGGTCTAGTTGGATCCCACCATGCTGTTTTTGACAGCTGCAAGAGGAGCAGAAGTGTGAGGCAGCATATATGGTGCTTTGCTTGTGTACTGTCCCAGCCTCTTGTCTTTTGGGATTTTGGGATTTAGGGATTTCTTGAGCTGGATGTGTTTTTTAGTTGATTATGTTGATTTGCCGGATTTTTTTCAGTCAGCTTACGTAAGTCCTTTTTAGATGTGCCATGTTCTTCACAGTCTGAATTTCTACTGAAATTATAAGTAAAACACCCAAGAAAAGCAAAAGGTATCATTTTCCCCATAGACCTGTGTTAGAAATAATGATATTGATCTTGCCTCAAGCTCTTATTTCAAACTGATTTTCTTCCAGCTTCTTTATGGCCCAAAGCTGAAGCAGTGACTAAGAGATAAGGGATTTGGTAAACTATAGTGCATGAGTGCAAAATGGACTTAGTTTGGCAAAAAAGACAAGAACAGACCTTAACTCCCCTTTTTTTTCCCCTCTGTCAGTTGAACTTCTGCAGAAATGTGAAGAATTTGTTTGCTGTCAGGATGAGCTGAAATCCCAGCCACAAGTGCAACTCTCTGAACTGGAGCAGCAGGTTTGGTATTTTCAAATTATTCTCATTAATTTTTCTGGTATATTGAGGAACTGAAGCCAAATTAAATGTCTGTAATTCCTTTTTTTATCATGGATTTCTTGAGAAAGGCTTTTATTCGTTCTCGCAGCTGATGGGCAGGCATTTTATGACTACAGAAGCCTGGAAAGAAGTAGAAGTCAATTTGAGTAACTTAAAAGTTGTCAGTTGATTTTTTTTTAAAAAAAGTTAACCAAGTGATCAAAGACTAATTTGTATTTATAAATGGTATTGAAATTTATCTTTCTCCTCTCCATCCTGTTTAAACAGGATGAATCAACTTCACAGGAAAAAATAGTAGATCAGGAAGACCAGAATGAGACTTCATTCCTACCCAGAGAAAACTTGGAAAGACAGAAGGCAGCAGGTCGTACGATTACCTTACCTATTTTAATATTCTTAATATACTTAAGAATCATTCTAGAAATAGTTTCTACAAAATAAGATATAGCTGAAGGGGTAGCTTTCCCCAATACAAAATGCTGACAATCTGCAGGTGGTACTTCGGGGGGCAGGGGGGTATTTTTGATAACTTTTGCTGAAACAGTAAGGCATATGCCACATATAAAAAACCCCAGACAATTACATTGGTTTTGAGTGTCTGGTCATGTAGACTGGTAGCAGCTCTGTCAGAATTATACTATAAAACAATGGATTCCCTCACGTGTTTACTTTAGGTTCTGGTGCACTATGACAGTAGTCTGTCTTGATTTCTGAGAAACAGATTAGTTTTGCTTCCTGTCATTCAAAGATAGAACCTCTTTGTAAAAATCCTGGTGAGGGAATAATCATCCATAAACCAGGTTCCTACTGTCCTAGAACATCATCTTTCTGGTTTTTGTTCCAAGATTGCAGAGATGCAGGTCTTTAATGAACTTCAAGACATTGTTTAGAGTCACAGCATGGTTTGGGATGGAAGGAACTCATAAAGACCAGCTGGTCCATCCCCCCTGCCATGAGCAGTGACATCCTTCAGCAGATCAGGTTGCTGAGAGCCCCATCCAGCTTGACCTTGAACACGTCCAGTATAGGGCAACTGGTAGCTCTGGGCAATCCAGAGAGAAGCAGCCCTCTTGAAACTGCAATAAGGCCTTGAAGAAGCCTTTCTTTTCCAGGCTGAACAACCACAAGTCTCTCAGCCTCTCTTCATGGGAGATATGTTCCAGCCCTCTGATCATTTTTGTGGTTTCTTCTGGACTCACTCCAGCAGATCCACATCTGTCTTGTACACGGGAACCCCAGAACAGGACACAGTGCTCTAAGTGAGGTTTCACAAAAGCAGAGAAGTCTTGGAGAATTGTCTCCCTCAGCCTGCTGCCCACACCTCTTTTGGTGCAGCCCTGGATATGATTGGCTTTCTGGGCTGCAGGCACACGTTGCCAGCTCCTGTCCAATTTTTAGATCACCAGAATCCCAAAGTCTTTCTCTGTAGCCTGCTTTCAATCCATTCACCCCGCAGTCTGTGCTGGTACTGGGGATTGCACCGGCCCAGGTGTAGGGCCTTGCACTTGGCCTTATTAAGCCTTGCTCTGCAGAAGGGATGAATGGCTGCATTCCTCAGGCTGGTCCAGGTCCCTTTGGATGGCATCACATCGCCCCAGCAAAATCAGCTGTTCAGCTGGGTGTCATCCGCAGGTGTGCCATGGGTGCAACCACCCAGCTGTCTCTGCCGGCAGCTAGGACACTAAATAGTCCCAGTCCCAGGAAGGACTTCTGCAGGACCTGGTTCCCACTTGGATGCTGAGCCATTGACTGCAATTCTTTGCACACTGACATGCAGCCAGTCCCTTGCCTCACCTGACAGCCCACCTGTCAAACCCATGTCTTGGCAATTTAGTAGCAAGGGTGTTGAGGAGACCGTATCAAAAGCCTGACAGAAATCCAGCTTTCAGCCTGGTTCCGTGCCCCAAGCTACAATTGAGTACATCCAAAATGCACCTGGAAAGCTTTAATCAGCTTTCTTAAAAAGCAGCTCCTCCTTCTACTGAAAGGAATTCCACCTGAAAAATGCAGTGACTCCGAGCTTCGCTGTCATGTTATGTAAAACATCTTTCCCAATGCATGTTTAGCTGCATGTTAACTTCAAAACAAACTTTTGTTTTTGTAATTCTGTTTCCAGTGGGTGTGTTGAACACTTGATTACTCACTTTTTTTTGGATCTTAAGCACTGGGAGATGGAATTTCTTTTTAAAAACTACCAAAATATTAAATGAAACATAAAAAATGGTTTACGTCTGCTATATAGTTTCTAAATACTTTGTTACTCCTTTTTGTGCCATGAATTTGTCAGTCTTTAATTAAAGTGGGATGCCTAAAACTGCCCACTGTAATCCATTCCTAACTTGGATAGAATGAATTAAGGATTTATAGATAGTTAGCTTATATTTTGCAATTTCTGACGCTTTTCAAGCAGACCTCAACAAATTCCTTCAAATTCCAAGCTATTTGAAATATAAAGGCTCTTGAAATCCTTATATAGTCTTCACTTCCATGGGTTTAGCAGTGCATTAGACCAGAACCTCTGTAACTCTCTTTAGATCTGTATGGATTCCTTGAACTTTTCTTGAGGCAGCTCTTTGAGTGATTGAAGGTCTCTCCTCCTGCTACGTAAGGGAAGGTTGTATGAGGCTTTCCATGGTTCAGTTGGTGGAAAGACTACAGTATAGTGTGAATCAATATAGGAGAGCCATTATCACAGAAAACACAAAATGCCTTCCAATTGTTAGAATTCACAAAACATTAATTTGAGCTTCCTCAACTTCCACAATACTTAGCAAAGACAGTTTTGTATAATCAATTGTAGAAAGTGTTTCAAGGAGTACAGAAAAAAACTTTGTACTGTATGTTGATGGTATGTGTGTCCTCTCTGCATGCTCAGAAGTGAAAAGTACAGAATTCATACCCCTAAGAAAACTGTTTAACTTGGTCCTGAGTTTTATTTTATATATTTATTTATATTTATTTTATTATTTATATATATTAACCTATTTTTCATACCATCGTTACTAGTTAACATGTTCACAAAATGGGGCCTGCTTTTTAATGCTTCTAAGTTGGTGTTTCTGGGGAAGACACAGTATTTGTTGCTTTACTGACTCCTGCACTAAAAAGCTGAGGCATCACCTGCTACATTAATTACAACTGCGATGATTTACAGAATGTATTTTTCTTGTACATTTATAACAATTTCTCATTTTATTTTTTCCAAATGAAATTTGAAACTATTTGCTACAATAGTTCTTTCTTTCCTCTCCTTTATAAAAACGTTTCTTAACACTTGAATCTCTATTACCTTCTTTCAGTATGTTTGTATGACAACAATTGTGCTTTTCTAAAAGCTGCTTAAAACAGCATGTTGGTTGTGTGGTTGCCTCTAAAGAAACCCAACCCACATTATCCCATGGCAGTGTTATGTATCTTCACTACATAAATTCTGTTAACAGCCATGTGTCCTTTCTCGAAAGCTCCTGGAAGGATATCCTGTCGCTGTCTAAAGCGAAGTCTTAAGTTTCAAAAAAAATTTTTGTGTTTGAATATTTCAGAAATGCCACATTTACAGCTTGTTCTCCAGGAGTCTCAGCAAGAAGCTCTGTTGGTCACAGAAGATGCAGAACAGGTAATGATTAAGCAGCTGAAATAAGCTAAAACTAAAATAGGTCAAGGACTGGCCTTAGAACAACTAAGCTGTCATCGTCTTTTTTATCAATCCTCTTTTGAGGGTTATTATTAACTGGATTAATGGTGAAAGACAGAAATAGCTTCCAAATACAGCTTGCACTGTTTGTAACAAACTGTTTCCCTTTGCCGGCTGTGTGGATTTCTTGTGTCCTTCATCCACCCAATCCACATTTGTGCTATTTTCTGCCTGTTGTGAGTTAGATTTTCAGCAGAACTATGGGCTAATCTGAGACAGGTCTCTGGAAATAAAATTCCAAAGGCTCAGCTGTCATTATATAAAAGATGCCTTTCAAACCAGCCCTGTCCATTCCCATGGCCCTGATGGGCACCTGGCTGACTGGGGGAGCTGTGTGCTCCTTGAGTGGGATACAGGTGGGCACTGTCCTTGTGCTACTCCACTGTGTCCAGCTGCAGGTACAAGTGCAGTCAGGTTCTTGTTGAGAAGAATGCAAGATGAGGAACCTGCTGCTTGGCTTTATGCTCAGCATGGTGAGGGAGATGACAGCCTCTGTGTATCTGTACCGAGAGTTTGCTGTGGAACCAACTGTTAGCTTAGAGCAGGGTCTGGCTTTTTGCAGACTGCTCTACTGGCCCATCCTGCCCAAAAGGGGACAGTTAATGCTGTGTTTTATCTAATACATTCCTGTCTATTAGAGGGTTTGTATATTACTGTGAAGTATTAAGGTAAAAGTTGATACTTGGAACCGGAGAAACATTTTGAATCATTCATCCTGCTTGACTCAGACCGTTACCTTCCAACCGCCCGCAGTCAAGCTGTGAGCTGGTAGATCAGTGGGAACACACACACACCTGCATGCATATTCTTTTCAAGGGCAGATACAAGCATTTGGACTATTTGCTACTGCCCCTTTATAGACAGTGGAATAAACAGGTTCTTTAGCACATGACTCACATGGAACAAGGTGAATGTTGAAAATGGGTCAATGAAAACAACCCTGGAATTGTCCATTTCAGTATCCTCATTATAAAAAGAGTCCAGCTAAATAGCTTACACCTGAGTTTTTACACTTGGACAGCTGTCATTTGGGCACCTGGCCCATGGCTTTAGTCCAAGTAATGTAGTTACTCAAACCCAGGTTAAGGCATCTAGCAGTTCAAAGATTCTTGTGGTGTTACTGGTTTTTTTTATGTGATAGTGCCTAGCATAACTTTATTGAGAAAACTCCAGATTTTTTTATCTGCTGGAGCAGTGAGGCATAGACTGACAGACACGTGACTTCTCAGCTTCTCTGCTTGGGTGGTCAGTGAAAGGTTATGATACTGTAGTTAGTCCCTTTGAAATAGTGAAGATGGAAGAGAAATCATCTCAACATGGGGAGGAAGTTATTTGAATCCTTGCATTCATTGATATGTTAATCTGCTGAGGTAAGTCTTAGTCTATTGCTTAACATCAAAACCAATCTCTCTTTTTCATTACTTATTTATTTTCATTAGGCTTAAGAGTTCTCTCCAAACTTGGGACTGATAGGTTTTACTTAGAGCTTGGCAGAACAGTAGACTGCTGAGAGAGCTGTCTTCTCATACCAGGATCCTGGCTCAAAGCTCAGTGTTTTTTCTTCAACCCACAGAATAAGAATATTGGTGCTGAGGCAAAATTGCAAGACTTGTGGACTATGGAAGCTCCAGCCTCTTCTGTAGACTGCTTTTCTTCTGCAGGTGAGGACACAGAATAAGGCATGTGACAAGAAAATTTCTCAAATGGAAATTTGAGAAGTTTCGGGGACAAATCTTAAGATGATTTAGAAGGAGGAACTCTGAGGTCAGAATATAAGGATGATAATCTGCAGAATGCAGGAAAGATTTACATAAGGTAGAGGAGAACATTCTAATGTGGGATGGGTAGGATATACTAGAAGAGAAGAAAAAAATGGTTGCTAAGGTTAGAAAGAGAGAAGGGGTTTGAAGGAGTGTGTTTGTAGATGCAAAGACTAATGTGTAAGGCACAGAAGAGAATTAAGATAAAATGAAGATCTGTATGTTTCTCTGCAAGCCACTAAATTTCTTTTTGTGTCTGGAATTAGTTCTCCCCTACATCCCACATGAAAAAAACCCCAAAACTATTACCTGGTTCTCTTGTTCTCTTGTCTCTTTGCTCTTTTTCTCTCAGGGGTCAGAAGTTCTGTGTGCAGGTGGTGCCAGCATGCAGCAAACACAGGGAGTTGCACAGAGCCATATTGCAGCTTCAGGGTCTGAATTTCTGGCTGGGGTTAAACCACAGCAGAATTGTCTGTGCACTGTATAGTCTCAAACTCTGGATTGTTTTCTTCTGTGCTTAGTTTGCTGCTTTTTTTTTTTTTTTTTTTTTTTTTTTTTTTTTGTCTTTCCTCACCTATAGAAGCTCCAGTCCTATTTATTGTCCCTTCGCTTACCTACTGGCTTTACCTGCAGGTTGTTACACTGATGTTCACAAGTGTACTTTATCTTATTAGGTATGTCAGGAGAGCTGGTGAATTCTGAAATGCAGAAGCCTGTTGCTGATACTTTCGTGCTCTCTGAGGTACAAATGTAGTCTAAAATCCTTTTGGTCTCAGTATTGTATGCATTTGCAGCTATGAAAACTTTAATTTCGTTTAGAAGCCCCCAAGACTTTATTTAACCTCCTGTGACTTAAAGTGGTTGTTTCATTACAACAGCAGTCTTTTTAAGAGCAGCTCTCCTATAATGGTTTCTCATAAATTGTTTCTGCCCTCCAAACTGATGAACAGCTTTTACAGTGCAGCGTGTTGGCTTACTGGTGGGCTGTTGATCCAAGCTTACTGGGGAGGATTTGTGACTGCTTTTCTTTTGTAATCTCTTTTGGGGGATGGGAAGAAACCTTATGATAGTTATTTTGAAAAAGCTGAGAACTTTGTTCCAGGTACTTTGTCTAGTACTTTCACTTTGGACACAGATTGGAATATGGGCTTCTATCCTGCTTCTTTATCATGTTAAATGGACAGATGGAATAGGGGACTAAACCTCCTTATTCAAAGACTATGAATAGGAAGCCATGGAAGTGTGCCTGGTTAAGTACACTAGAGGGCTTGTGAGAATCACAAGAGAACTTAAACAGTTCAGAGTCGTACTAGTCGTACTATCTTGTAATCATGAGAGAAGGGGAAAAAAAGGAATAGGAAGTTGCCCGTATGATCTGATCCTAAAGTCAGAATCTTTCATGCTGTAACTTCAGAAACTGAAATTAGCAGAAGTGATCTGGGAAGTCACAGAATCACTGAATAGCTGGGGTTGGAAGGGACTTCTGGACATCCCCTAGTCCACCCCCCACTGCCAAGACAGAGTTCCCCTATTATTAGCAAGGCTTCTGTTTATTGCAGAAGCCAGCTTGAGAAAGCTACGACAACTACAAAATGTGGAAAGCAGATACTTCCAAAAGTGGCCCTTTCACAAGATTCAAAGGAAAAACGATACCTGCTATTTTCTTTCAGGCAAGAACAGATGGCTTTACCAAGGGAAACAAGCAGTTCACTGAGGACAGTTATCCACCTGGAAATCTAGAAGATATTGCTGCAGAGAAACAGAAAGAGCTGTCAGTTTTGCTGCTGGAACTGAAAGAAGCCCAAGAAGAAATAACTTTTCTGAAAAGCCAGCTCGAGGGCCCCAGTGGCCAAACTTCTACAGTCAGCCAAACAGAAGCTAACCAGCTGGAAGAGAATTCACAGGTACAGTGTGGAATCAGTCTCCAAGAAGAGCCTCTGGGAAGCCCTGGCACCTCTCAGTCTCGAGAACTGATTAAGTTACAAAACCAAATTACAGAATTGCAAACAATTCTGCAGAAATCAGAAGAATCCTTTAGGAAAGAACTAGGAGAAAAATGTGCAGAAATAAATAGGCTAAACCACTTGGCTGAGGAATACAGAAAAAAAAGAGAGGATCCCAACAGTACATTTTGTGTTTTGACTGAAGAACAAGATCAGCTCTTGTGTCAGGTGAAAGAATTTTCTACCATAACAGAACTGAAGGAGCAAGTGAAGCAACTGGAGGAAGAACTAGCTCTTTCAGAAAAACAGAGACTGTCAGACAGTCAAAACAGTCTTCTAAGAGAGCAAATCCAGAGCCTTAAAAATGAATTTAAATCCAAGGATATAAAAATTGAAGCTTTGCAAAGGGACTTGGATAAAGCACAGCTTCAGCTTTCTGACCAGGACATGCAATTAAAGGATCTGAGAAGCCAGGTTGAGACAAAGGAATGTGAAGTACTTGGTCTAGGACAACTTTTGAGGAAGAGTACAGCAGAGATGGAAGAGCTTTCCCACAAGTTAGCCTTAAAGGGACACGAGGCAGGAAGCCTAGAACAGCTTGTTGCTGAGCACACCAGGTCTATAGAGAGCATGCAACAAGCCTTGCTGGAAAAGGACCAACAGATGGCAGAGATCAGTGTCAGCATGTCTGAGAAAATAGTCCTGCTGAATGAAGAGAAATTTTCTCTAGGAAATGAGCTGAAGAGCCTTAAGGAGCAGACAAGTCTGTTATTAAAAGCCCAGGAAGAAAAAGAACAGAACATTGGAGCAAAAGATACATGTCTGAAATGTGAGGCATCCAAACAGCAGAATGAGACAGAAGCAGTGAGTAAAGAAAATGAGGAATTAGTAAATCAAGTTGAACTTCTGAGAAAAGAAAACGATCAAGTAAAGCGGAAGCTGCAAGCAGCCCTTGTGAACAGGAAGGAGCTTCTGAAGAAGGTAACCAGATTGGAGAATGAATTAGAACAGCTGAGTAGAGAACAAAAGTCAGAAACCTCAGTGGGTCAGGCAGCTGCAGGGGAAGAAAACATGAGAAGCATGATCACCAAAGAAATGAGTCTTGAGAACCAGCCCAATGAGGACTATCTAATTCAGCTGCTTTCCGAAAAGGAATCTGAGTTGCAGAGCATCCGTAAGGATAAAGAAACCACTGAAGCACGACTGCAGGCAGTGATTGAGGAAATGAGGCAAAGCTTGCAATGTAAGGCAAACACTGTTTCAATTAAAGATGAAATCATGGAGCATCAGACAATTCCTGACAAAGTAGCTGAAACCAATGAAAGCCCAGATGATGATGAAGAAAATGAAAAACATAGTTCAGCAGGTACAAATCTGGAAGAAAAACAAAAGTCTGCTCTTAAAGAAAGGATTTCAGTTCTTGAACAAGAAAAAGAACAACTTCAAAAAAAACTTCAAGAAGCTCTGGTATCTCGCAAAGACTCTATAAAAAAGGCTCAGGAAAAAGATAGGCATCACAGAGAACAACTGAAACAGCAGAAAGATGATTACAACATCCTGCAAGAACAATTTGATCAGCAAAGCAAAGAGAAGGACAGCATCCAGGCTCAGCTCAGGCAACTCCAAGAACAGAAAGGATCAGCAGAGAGTGTTTTTGGGAGTCAAGGTAGATTGGATTCTTCATGTATGGAAGCAGAAGATACAACAAATAACAAGCTTGTACAAATTTCAGCTGTTTCTGAGGAAGGGTTGAAAAAACACCTTGACAAATTACAGACAGAGAAAGAGAAATTGGATTGTAATGTCAGCCATATGCAAAGGGAACTTGCTCACAAATCAGAATTAATCATTGGTTTGCAACAGCACATAGCACAGTTGTCTGTAGAGATAGAAGAGCTAAAGATATCCTCTGACCAAGCTGAAGCTAAGGAAGCAAGTCTTCAGACAGAATTGGAGGAGAGTCAAGGAAAAATTTCTGGAGTGGCCAGTCTGGAAGACTTGAAAATCCTTCTGCATCAAAAGGATGAAGAAATTGAATTTCTTAACCAGCAGTTAAAGGAGAAAAGTGAAGCTCTCAATAATGTGCAGGCACAATTGCTGGAAAAAGAGGACTCGGTCAAAAGACTGTGTAGTCAGTTGGAAGCTCAGGCTCAGGTGCATGAGGAACAAAGCAAGCGACTACAAACAGAGATGCTTGAAATTCAGGAGAAGCAAGAGAACAGTGCAGAAGCAGCTAAACAGAAGAATCAAATGCAGAGAAAGTTGCAAGCCGCACTCATCTCTAGAAAAGAGGCACTAAAGGAGAGCAAATCTCTAAAAGAAGAGCTGGCTAATGCTAAAATTACTATTGACAATCTTTCCGCCAAACTGACAAATATGGAAAGCCAAATATGTGGCCATGTTAAAGAAACAGATACCTTAACAGAAAACTTAGTGTGCCTCACTGGAGAGCGAGAAAAACTTGCTGCAGAAATTGATAAACTACTTAGAGAAAATCAGAATCTTGATGAATGCTATAAAAACCTTACACTTACTTTGGACAGAGTTATTCTAGAGAAGGAGAAGCTGGAGAATGAGGTGGAATCATTGAAGAGCTGTCAAGCCACTGAGAGTTCTGAGTGGCAGGAAAAGTACAAGGAGCTTCAGGGAGAATATGAAACTCTGCTGCAGTCATATGAGAATGTGAGTAATGAGGCTGAGCGAATTCAGCGTGTGTTGGAAACTGTTAGGCAGGAAAAGCAGGAAGTTTGCATTCAGCTAAAAAGGGCTGAAGCAAAAAAAGAGGAAACAGATAAGCAGCTACAGGAAGCTAGACGGGAAATTGATGAAATGAAAGAGAAAATGAGGAAATTTGCAAAATCAAAGCAACAAAAGATCCTGGAACTAGAAGAGGAGAATGAGAAGCTTAGAACAGAGATGCATTTTACAGATGAAGAGCTACACAGGACTGGAGAGAGCTTTACAAACACTAGCCTGAAAGAAGATCTGGAATGCTCTAGGAGGGAGTGCCAGTCTCTTTCTACTGAGCTTGAGACAGTAATGGCTGAAAAGGAGTCTCTTAATCAAGAGATCGTGGACTTGAAGTGCCTTTTGCAGTTAACAGAATCTAAGCTGAAGGAAAGCAGAGAACTTGTAAACAAGTATGTCGCTCAGCAGACAACGGAGGGAGAAATGAATGAGGCAGTTGCCACATCATCACCAATGGAAAGGTGTGAAAATCAAGTGGATGTAACGGTTAGACCAGAGCCTCCTGCTGCAGAACTGGAACAAGAGACATTTGAAAGCGATAGGCCTTGTGAGGATCTTGGGATCTACAGACAGGAAATAGTTGAGCTCACCAAACGAATCACAGAGCTAGAAGATAATAGAAGGGCTTCAGAGCAACAGCTGGGTGACATCCACAGGTGCGTTGAGACTTTAGCAGGTGAAAAAAGGATTTTGGAGCACCAAATGGAAGAGAAAGTCCAGGAAGTGAATGATCTGCAGGCTACAGTAGCAAAGATGGAGCAAATGGTCCAAAAAGCCAAAGATGACCTGGTCAGAATGACAGCACTGAAGGATGCTCTAGAGGCTGAAAAGGATGACTTGGAAGAAAGGCTTATGAATCAGCTGGCAGAACTTAATGGAAGCATTGGAAACTATCAGCAAGATGCAACAGACTTCCAAATCAAAAATGATCAACTGAAACATGAGCTTCAGAGTTTGCAGAGAATGATGCATGAACTAGAGGAGGAGAAAAGTCAGATGGCAAAGGAGAAAAGGAAAGCAAGTTCAGAAAAGCAAAAGGAATTTGTAGAAAAGCTAAAATACAATTGGAGAGGAGAAAGCAGCACGCATATAAAGGAGCTTCAAGAACTGCTGAAACAGAAACAGCAGGAGATTAAGCAGCTGCAGAAGGATTGTATTAAAAGCCAGGAAAAGAATAGTAGTTTAGAAAGAACTGTTAAAGCTCTGGAATTTCTGCAGAGTGAGACTCAGAAAGAGGTAGAAGCAGCCAAAGAAACTTCAGCTAAGGCAGTTGAAGACACCAAGAAAGCCCAGGCAGAGCTTGCTCTCTGCAGAGTAGTGTTGGATGACACTCAGAGTGAGGCAGCAAGAGTTCTAGCTGAGAGTATCAAAGTCAAAGAAGAGTTGCAAGCAAACAAAGAGAAAATTAAAATTCAAATGAAGAAAAAGGATGAGGACTTTGAGAGAAGACTGGAACAGGAAAAAGACAAGCACTCAAAGGAGATCAAAAACATGGAAGAAAAGCTGGCAACATTGCAGAGGGAGAAAGACCATATTGAAACAACAGTTGGTGATCTGCAAGACTCCTTGAAGACAAAGGATCAAGAAGCCAAGCAACTGGAAGGCAGTCTAAACAAAACATTAGCCCAGCTTGCAGCCTTCACCAGGAGCATGTCTTCCCTTCAGGATGATAGGGATAGAGTGATAGATGAATCAAAAACATGGGAGAAGAAATTCACTGAAACTATTCAAAAGAAGGAAGAAGAAATACGTTCAAAAGAGGAAGCTTGTGCTGTGCTAAAGGACCAGATGAAACACTTGACTATGCGTGTGGAAGAACTCCAGACTCATATATCCAGGTAAATAAGCTGTGGCAGGGGAGGTTTATCAGGAAAAAGTTACTCTGTTATCTGCACAAGGATACAGGTGATCACTCTAGAATAGTGCTTCTTCATGTCATCGGGATACTTGTGTTAAATCTGTTCTCTGTGACAAGCACTCACCATCTGATTACAGTCCAGAGTCTTTCAAGTTTCAGATTAATTAAAGTTTCTTTTGCATGGAATTCTTTGCACTGAGAGGTCAGGAGAGCATTGGGATACAGAGTTCCATCCCCAAAAAAATTTTATGGGGAAGATGGAGCTATGGAAACCTATCAAAATGTGTACACATCTGTGTGTTTCCAAGATTCAAAACTAAACCATTCTTACATGAGTAAAATTGTTTTATAAAGTTTCTATGCTGTATCTTTGCATGCTGAAGCATGAAATGGACATCAAAGGTATCAGAACAGCAATTTCATTGTGGGGTGGCATGGGGCTGTTTTTATTGTTAGCTACAATGGTTGAGAGAAGTAATGTAATGACAAGGAGGTGATAACATTTGGTGTTTAAGTGCCTTCATTTCTTTCAGTGTTGACATGAACAACTTTAAAAGAATACATTCCCCTGGAACCACCCCTTTCAGGCAGTAGTACAGTCAGAACTTTAAAACATATCTTGAACTTTAAATTGAGAGATATTTCCAACTTGCTTTCTTTAAGTAAAATAAGCTCTGTGGCTTTTCTAAATTAATATAAGAACAGTGTTAGTGGGGGTTCAGATACTGAGATACTTTTATGGATATTTGATCAACTTTATCTTTTCTGTTTTCAGGCTGGAATGCAACAAGAAGGACTGGGAGGCTGACTGTAGGAAGGAGATTCAGCATCATCAAAAGACATGTGAAATGTTGCAGGAGGAAAAAAGAAAGCTTTTGACTCAGCTTGAGGGGTCTCAGGAACTGTACAGCAAGTCTCAGAATGAACAGCAGGAACTGGAGTCAGTAATCAGCAGCCTGAGAGACCAGCTTGCTGACTTACAGAATTCCTTCACCAAATGTGAGCTGGCCAGGAAAGAGCTGGGGACTGTGGTCAAGCAACAAGAGACCAGTATCCAGAATTTTAAACTCAACTGTCAACAGCTTGAAGCTGATCTGCAGGCTTCCAAGGATCTGACAAATAAGCTGCATGAAGAAACCAGTGCCAAAGATCAAAAGATCATGAGTTTGCTGTCTGCCAAAGAAGATGCAGTGATGTCTGCTCTAGCTGAATTACAGCAGCAGCATTCTGAAGAGATGAAAGAGTTGGAGTGTAGGCTAAGTAAGGAGGAAGAAGATAGAAAAGCCTTGGAAAATGAGAAGAACAAATTTCTTGACAAACTCAATCATCTCACTGAAAAGATGAAGATAAGCACAGAAGAAAGTAAGCAGCAGAAGGCACAACTGGACTCCTTCACCAAGTCCATGTCATCTCTGCAGGACGATCGAGACCGCGTACTGAGGGACTACAAGCAGCTGGAGGAGCACCATTTTGTTACAATCTTGGAAAAAGACCAACTAATTCAAGAGGCTGCTGCTGAAAACAACAAGCTCAAGGAAGAAATGAGAAGTTTCCATAGCCAGATGGATGACCTTAACTCTGATAATGCCAAGCTGAATGCAGAGTTGGTGCGGTACAGAGAAGACCTTAACCAAGTGATTTCAATAAAAGACTCCCAACAGAAGCAACTTTTGAAAATACAGCTTCAGCGGATCCAAACTCTGGAAAATGAGAAGGCAACCATAGAAACACTGCTGAAAGAGTCTGAGCGTACTCAGGATGATCTCAGGAAGGGCATGGAAGCCTTAAGAGAGGATAAAGTCACTATGTCTCAAGAGATTGAAACTCTTATGTCCTCTCTGTCCCAGGTGCAGAGTGAGATGGCAGCATTACATGAAGGGAGTCCCATTGTGGAGTGTCGAGCAGAACTGAAGACTCGAGAGGAAGAGATACAAGAACTGAGTCATGAGCTTTCCCTCTCCCAGCAAAGAATAATGGAACTTGAGGGGGAGCTAGAATGTGTTCAAAGGGATGCAGTCAAGAGAGTGGGAGAGGCTGAGGACAGGCTTCGGAAGGAATTGAAGCACCTGCATCATGATGCAGGAATAATGAGGAATGAAACCGAGACAGCAGAAGAGAGAGTAGCAGAGTTGGCACGGGACTTGATGGAAATGGAACAGAAATTGCTTGCAGTCACAGATGAAAACAAAGATCTCAGAGCTCAAATTCAGTCTTTTGGGAGGTCCATGAGCTCTCTTCAGGGTAGCCGAGACCAGGCCAATGAAGAGCTTCATGTTTTGAAACAGAAATATTCTGCAGACTTACAGGAACAAAAGAGTCTAGTGCAGAATCTTCAGAAACAGATGGCTCAGCTACAAGAGGAGAAATGTTCCACTGCCAGGGACCGAGATACAGTGAGGTCTGAGCTGACAGAACTGCAGAAAGCTGTTAATGAAAGAGGTCTCTTGGCCCAGATTGAGAAACTTAATCAGCAGCTCAGAGCTAAAGATGATGAGCTTCTCCGCTTGTCTTTGGAATTGGAAGGCTCTTCCAACCAAGTCAAATCTTTCTCCAAGGCTATGGCAAGCCTGCAGAATGACCGAGACCGTCTGCTGAATGAATTGGACAAAACACGTAAGATTGAAGAAGTGAAACAACAAGCAGAAGGGAATGCTTCCATCACTTCTTCAGAAGTGCAGAGTCTGAAGAAGGCACTGGCCTCCTTGCAGAGTGACAGAGACAGAGTAGTAAGTCCATGTTCTCTCTTCCTTGTCTTACTTAAAGCACCACAGAAGGTTTGGATCTTCAAGTCTTAAAATTCAGCACACTTAGATCTGGTAATTGCAGTGTGACGCATAGATCATTGTCTTCACAAAATCACAGAACAGTTGAGATTCAAAGGGTCTTCTGGAGATCTTCTAGAGATCTTCTAGTTTAACCCCCCTGCACAAACAAGGCTGGCTGGGGTAGGTTGCTCTGTAAAATGTCCTGTTGGATTTTGAACATCTCCATTGGTAAATATTCCACAGCTTCCCTGGCCAACCTGTTTTTTCATGTATCTGGAAATGGTTTCTAGAATTAGTTGCTCCCTCACTTTCCCGGGGATGGAGATGAGGCTGATCAGACTGCAGGTTCACAGTTCTTCTTTCTTGCCCTTCTTGTAGGTAGGGATGACATTTGCTTTCTTCTAGTCTTCAGGAACCTCTTGGGTCACCATGACCTTTCAAAGGTAACGGAGTTGCCTCCTAATGACCTTAGCATTTGTGGGCATGCTCCATCAGACCCCGTGGATCTGGTATGGGCCATCTGTATTATTTTCTCTGGCATGGAGGCTGTGATTTCATTGTTAACTTCCTGGGGTGGTTTCTCTGTCAGCTTGGTTTAAAATATGAAATCATGGAAATAAGGTCCCTGGTAACTTGCTGAATTCACATCTGTGTCAGTTCATTTGATTTACCGTGGATTTCTACAAGAGACTAGAACAAAGGCTTGAGTTTCTTCCTCCTCTTGGTAGCTAATTTTCAAGGCAGGGACAAGATATTGCAGATTCCTTTTGACATCCTGGCCTGCACACTGAATGTGTCTGTGTTTGTATAGTCTCTGGCACAGTGCAGCCCAGCAAGGTCAGGAGTTCTCATTGCTGGTCAGAAGACAGACTTTGACAGTTATGTCTCACTGCCACTCATTAAGCACTGTCCCATGTCCAGAGTCAGCCGTGTCTTCAAAAACAATTGCAGTGATGCATGTATAGCAACAACTTATTTCTAATTACAGCCTGACTGGAATTGGAGAGCCAAAAAGATTTTACTTAGCAGTTTCCTGGTTTACAGTAAATACCAACTTCAGGACTTATGCTTAACCAGCTTCTTCGGTGTCACTTAGTTTTCCTCTGAATAAGATAATTAATATTGTGGCCTGGAGTCTTTTTATTAATGTATGTCACATCCTCATGGGAGGGCTCAAAACTCACTGCTCTTATTAACAATAGAATCGTCTGAGGAGTGTTTTTCTGAGCAGTTTTTAGTACACTGCTGTATTTGATGATTCAGTTTCTAGTTCCTCTGTCATCTGAGTGTGACCTTTTTTCTCTCCAGAAAGCACAGTGAGAAGTGTTCTCAAACAGTTCTAAGTAATAAACCTGTTGCTTGATCAGCTGTCACACACTGATGCTTCTCTTTAATTCCAGGTAAGAGAGCTGGAGAATCTGCAGCAGCAATACATCCTGGTTGGGGTGGAAGCTGCTGAGAATTCTCGCTTAAAAGCGCAACTACAGCAGTGGGAGCAAGAGGTGGACAAACAGGTCCGTCTGCAAGAACAACTGAAGCAAGAAGGAGCTGTGTACCAGCAGGAGCTCCAGCAGCTCAGGTGAACTGTCTGTCTGCTCCTTGCCTTGGTGAGGTTGCAAATGTTTGTTTCTCTCCAAGAGCAGTTGGAGGCAGAGGTGGAGGGAATGCTGAGAACCTCAGCCTGGACTGTGCCACGTAACACTGAGGCACTTTGCCCTGATCAGGAGAGGGCACATGTTTCTCTTGTCCAGCTTCTGCCTCAGAATTACAGCTCAGCAGCTTGGATGTCAATGCCTGTGTGAAATAGATCAATGACCTTTTAGTTTTTATTTCCTTCATCCAGTGATTGTCAGTGTCATCTGTTGGAGAGGAAACTGAGGCTTTGTATTGGAGCCTATGTGTATGTTCACAGTACTCTCCATTCCAGGCTGCTGCTGAATACCCTTTATTATCCCACTCATAGTTCAGAATGTACTAATTTTGTATGCTGTCTAATCCTTTATTTCACTTGCTTTATGTCTTCCAGGTTTTTTTTAAACTCTGTAATTCAAGTCTAGTAAAATTGTCTTCTCCAGCTGTACTAAAAGTAGTCAGAACAATGTTCTGTGTTCTGAAAGGGGGGTGGGGGGTGGGGGGTATGCTTTCAGGTATTTCAGAAATTCATTTAAGAATGCCTGAGGCTCGAATGAAAAGGGTGGTATTTTCTTTCTGGAAAGGTCTATGGCTTATCTTTGTCCAGAGTGATATAAAAACTTGTAGTTCTCTCCCTTCCCCCTGCCCCAAATCTGACCCTCAAATTAACACTTCAGATCTTGTGAGGTTTGAAGCATCTTACAAATTTTATTTATCCTGACAAACGAACAGGAGCTTTATTTCCTGTGTAACTGTTATACTGTACGTGAAGTGATGGCCTCAGCGGGACCAGATGGGATCAGTACTGTGGGTCTGGTGCACATATGACCATGCAGAGAAATTATTATGGGGACAAGTGGCATTTCCAGTGATTTCCTTGACAAAACTCTGTACAGTGAGATCAAAACAATGTCCAGGAACACAGGAAGTGTGAAAAAGTCACCCTAGGACAGCATGGAACAATCCAAAGGGTTCAACGAAATACAGAAAACTTCCTTAAACCTCTTTTTAAGGTTCCTGTACTTAAGTGGGTGGTTTTGGCTTGGCTTGCTTATAAAACTTCATGTCTAGCATGAGGTGATGATTGAATCATCCTTGGCTCATTCTTAGCTGGATACCTGGACATCATAAGTGATACTAGTAACTTCCTTGTAATTTCCCTTGTTTTATGCTGGGCAGACAGGAGAAGACCACCTGGGAAAAGCAGAACAGTAGCATGAAGGAGCAGTACCTGATGGCCATAGCAGAGAAGGATAAGCAGCTGAGCCATTTACAAAGGATCACACAGGAAATGAGGCTGCCATTAAGCAAGTCTCAAACTGTAGAGGAACAGCACCAAAGCAAGGTGGGTGGAAAGATAAAGATTCTTGACTGGAAATGTGAAGATTGAAACTCAGCCAGAAGAGTGTGTGTTGCCTGTAGGAGCTTGTATCCAGCTCCTACAGACTGCAGTGTTGGATATGGTTGTGAGGCCTCTGAAGATAATACCAACAGTCTAACTTGCATCACTGGAAGTTGTAGAAATTGTGGCATACCCTTAAGTGTTCTTCCTTAAGTTCCTGGTTTCCAATGTTTCAAGAAAAAGGGTAAAAGAGAGAGGGCTTTCTAGGCACCTTGGGTCCTTTGGAGCAGCATGGAACTTCTCAGGTGTGTCTTCTGGCTGTTTTAGAATTGACCTCTTGCACTGTCTTTGAATCTAAGATTTTCTGTCTTAGTTCTCATTTTAATGTTGCATCTTCATTTTTAAGTTTTCTATTGAATTTTTCTTACTGCTTTTACTGTAACAGGGCTCTACAATTCTGGTTCAAGCCCAGAGAGGCTGAGGCTTGAACACTGCACCTTCTCTCTTATTCCCCCTGTATACAGTCCTAAAAGTGGAGTGCAATATGTTCGGTATTTTGCTTATCTAGGAAAGGCTGCATGCTCAGTGCAGTGCATCAGAGCCAAGGGAGAACGCTCCCACCCATATCTGCAATGTTCCAGTTGTTTATGTCAGTGGAGGGGGTATCAAATCTCCCTTATCCCTGTGGTAAATCTGTGCATATATGCAAAGAAAAAGCTTGAACAATGTTCGTGTGATGCTTTCCAGGAGGATTCTTCAGTACTGGCCTTTTGGTCATTGTTGATTAGAGCAGTGTGGACATTGCTTTAGGTTTTTGTTTGTTTTTTCTTTTCTCATTCATGTGCCTTTTTTACTTCTTCCTGTGTTGTAAACAGCTTTAAGACAACTTTTGAGCAGGACCCATCATATGTGCAAGTTTGGTTATTTTTCCTAACTGTCTGTATTTTCAGATGGCTTTTGGGGTATCTCTGTTTATTCCCCATTTGCTCTTTTGCCTGAGCAGATCAAGTTCCAGGTCTAGGATTAATGTTGGATTTGACCTTGGAATACTGAACAGAGCTGACAAACACAAGAGCGTGTTGCCACATGTGCAGTGTATTTTTCATTGCTCTTTCCTTGGCAGATTTCTCCAGAAGTCCTGAAAGGGGACCTTTCAAGTCTAGAAACAGAGATGAAACACCTCCAGGCCCAGCTAAGTGATAGTCTGAAAGAACTGCACCAGAAGGAGCTCAGAATTCAGCAGTTAAACAGCAAGGTACTGATTCATGTCTTATACTTACTTGCAGTCAGGGATGAGGAATGTGGGGAGGGTTAGGCTGGAATAGGGCTCAGGAAGCAGGAATTAATCTGTCCTTGCAGGCATTCAATGAAGTAGCACAAAATCCGAAATACATCTCTCAAAAAAACAGTGTTAGAATCCCCCGGATGGAATCAGTGCTGCTGAACAGGGCTTGCACAGCACCAGAGTCCATCCTCCATGTCCCACACTGCTCTCCCCCCGTGAGCAGCTGGGGTCAGAGCATTGGAGAGAGAAGCCATGAGTGGGACAGCTGTTCTGTTGGACCAGAAGGATCTCCAGGTCCCATGCAGATCCCATCCAGCAGGTTCAGTGACAGGGTCTGAATCAGCAGCTTTTCTGCCACTGTAGTTCAGTGCCCTTTCTCCCAGGTGACCAAAAGGAGAAAGGGGGAGGGAAGAGGGCAGGGGAGGAAAGAAAGGTGAGAGAAGGGAAGGAGTGGGGAGGGAAGATAGATGGAGGGGACAGTGGGGGAAAGAAGTTGGATGGGGAGAGATGAAGACCAGACAAAGGGACCAGAGAGTGAGACCATATGAAAAAAGTTGTTTACAGGTTCCATGTCTATTGCTGAGAGCACTTTCTAACCTGCTTTCTGGGAGTTTATTGATCTTCAGAAGGAGAGTTGTGTTCAAGGAGAAAGTGAGAATATAAAATCATAATTAACTGATGATATTTCTGAATGGTTTAGGTCAATATCACTTTAAAAATCTTGTTCTGGACATGTAGTATTCTGTACATCTCTTTGATGTTTTGAGACTTTTGTTCCAGAAGTCTTTGCCACAAGCCATTCTTGGAGGTTGTCACTGGTCTTTGGACCTTAGTGATTTTCAAGAGAATTCTTATCCTCAGACAGAGAGCAATTTTGCTTTCACAAAACCAATTTCTTTGCTTACCAATTGTGTTCTTTTCTCAGTTATCTCAGGTCTTTGAGGAGAAAAATGCCCTCTCCCTCCAGCTCCGTGGGAGCAGTCGGAGCATCTGCGAGAGCCATCAGCACTACAGTGAGGTCCTGAACCGCTGCCTAGTGCTTGAGAGGCAGCTCCAGGAGCTGCAGGCTGCAGATAAGAGTATGGTAAGGGGGTTTGGGTCTGGTGCACAGCAGGGAAAAGCTCATTTCAAGTGGCTCTGCAAACTGTCCAGCATTGTAGCGGCTCTGAGTTCTCTTCAGTGGAAGTGCAGTCTGCAGTGCATTCCTGTGTTCTTTCAGGAGCTGTATGCGACAGACGCTGCTCCAGGAGCACCCCAAGAAAAGAATGAACTACAGAGAGGCACTTACACACCTGAACTGCAGGAGCTGCAGCTGAGGTAAAGAAAATCTGAGAAAACAGGGACAAGGATGTTGGTCCTGATGAAGGCCTTGAGGGTAGTGATGAGCCTGTTGCTTTTACTCTATACCAGTGTGTTGGGAAAACTCAGTCCCACTAGGATCTTGTGGTCTTGGAGGAACGTTTGTATGCATTTAGTAGCTGTCATTAATTATCTCTTTGGATTACGGATTCAAAAAAACACAAGGACAACATGCAGCAGCAATGCCAGCCAGACCAACATCTTGGATCTGGTGGGCTGCATCCTCAGTAGCTGCTGAAAGATCTGGTCTCAAGATTGTAGCCCAAGAGTGTGTCTGGAATTGAGATGTAGCACAGGATTCCTTGTAACCTTCCGAAACTAAGATCTAGCACATGATTCCTCAAACCCTTTCAAAATAATTTTCAGATGGTAGAGCCATGGTGACAGAGTCAAGGAACTCCTTCTTGATGTGAAACAGAAGCTTCAAGAGATTTATCTTCTCTCATGTTCTCCAAATAGTTTAAACATAGTAAAGATGACTAAGCCTCCTGTGTGAGTTGGGAGGTAATTTGTTTCTGTTCACACACTACATCAGTGAATACAATAGAAACACAATAGTCCATGAATGAGGCTTTTTTTAGCATATACTTTGTTATTTTCTGACAGGTTGTCTGAAACAGAACATTTACATAGCAGCACAAAGCAGGATATGAAGTATTTGGAGGACCAGCTGGAGGAGGAACGGGACCGTCGTCTTGCTGCAGAGGAGGAGCTTTTTGCAGCACAGGATCAGATCAGGAGGTGAGGCAGCCTGAGCAAACAAACACTACCACCATAGAAGTGTGGTGGTTATAGCTCTGTTTCTCATTTGCACTTCATCACATCCTTCTGTCAAATGGCACTGGGGGCACAGAGACAGCTACCGTGTCTGTCACAAAATCACAGAAAGGTTGATGTTGGAAGGGGCTTCCAAAGACCATCTGGCCTAGCCCTGTGCTCAGCCTAGACCCAGTTGCCCAGGACCATGTTCAGATGGCTGTTGATTATCTCCAAGGAGAAAGACTCCACAACCTCTCGGGGCAACTGGCATGGTGCTCAGTCACTCTCACTGTAAAAAAAGTGTTTCCTGGAGTTCAGGAAATGCAGTTCCTTCAATTGTAGGCAGATAGAATGAGACAAATTATTAGACATGAAGAGAAGTTCTGTCTAGAAATTAGATGCAAACTTTCTCAATTTGTTAAATGAACTACTGGAAAATATAATTTGGAGATTGAGAATTGGGTGCAGGCCAAAGAGGATCTTCCAGGGGATTTGTCTCCTCAGTCAGCACCTGTCTGTCATACATGAAACAGTTTTAACTTGAAGAATGTCACTCATTTTTAATGTATTGCCAATTAACATAAACTTTTCATTAATTTGGTTATTGAGAAGCAATTAAATACTTAAATACTTGTGTCCACCTTTCCCAGGCTTACCTTCAGCCTAGACCTCTCTCCTGTCCTGTACCCAGTATCCAGCACTGGGGTCTGCACTGCACAGGACTTTGCGTCTCTCAGGGCACTGCACAGATGCCCTGAGAGTCAGCAGAGCAAAGGCAGCTGACCTGGACTAGATGTTGGGGCTGGGATTAGTTTGCAGTGAGCAGCAGGTTCAAAATGCTTGATTCTCTTCTTTGACTATGTAGGGGGTTTTAGCATGTGACCTGATTATAGGCACTGGTGCTGTGCATTTCCTGGTAGTTAAAAAACTGGAGTTACGGACTAGTGAAGTCTTTTACATGAAAACAGTGCCTTTCTTCTGACACACTTGCTGATTCAGCCAAAAAATAATGGTCTGTTTAGAAGAATTCTGGATGAAGTTCCCTGGTAATTGCTACACAATTTGGACAACTGTAGCTCCTTCTGGCATTAAAGTCTATAAAAGCCTCCTGCAGCTGATCTCACTAATGAATGGGAGCCCCAGGATGTGACTGCAGCCTCTGTCACTAAAAAATAGGAAGAACCAGCCCTATTGCAGCCAGAGCTGACTTCCAAAATAATTTAACAGAATTTGAAACGTACAGGTGTATCATCTGCCCTGGCTTCTTTTAAGTCACACTATAAAATTTCACTTGAAAGGAGTAAGAACTCCTGCTAGTTGGGTCACCCTGTTCTTTTCTCAGTGTGAGCTCAGGGGGTATGACACCTATACAAATGGAACCAGCTCTTGGCGAGTGAAGCCAGGGCTTGCTTGCAGGAGCTGATTAATTTTTTGAGAAGTACCATCTTTCCTAAGCTTAATTACAGTGTTGATTTGGGCATCATAATAAGAAACTGATTTTAATTTCACATTTGTTGTGGCAGGTTGCAGTCAAGTGAGTGGACATCTTCCTTAAGTGCCAGCATTGATATGACTCCAGGTTATGAGCAGTCCTTGCTGATTGACTCCATGGATAATAATTCCAGCAGAGTAAGAATTTAACATTCACAGCTGTCAATTATGTGAGCCTCACTTGATTCGAGAAACTGTGAACCTACAGCAGTTAAATTCCTCTGTAGAGACACATAAATTGGTTGGGGACTGTGTAATTTTTCTGCTTTTGCCATGCTGAAAATAAAATTGGATGGGGCTGGTTCCTGGACAACCTGCAGAGAGCAGGGGAAGAATATTTCATAAGGATTGCCCTAGTGTTAGAATCTGACAGTGGAATGATTTGGGGAAGGTTTATGCTCATTAGCTTAAACAAACTTATCTCCATAGTCTGGAGAGCTCTGGATGAAGGCAGCTGGGGACAGCCATTCCTTGTGGTGACTGCTGTCTCTTTACTCTTTCAGACTCGGAGTACTCTTGGACTACGACGCCTGTTACGCTCTCTCTTCCGCTCCCGGACCCACTTGCCTCTGCTAGTGGCCATGTACCTGCTTGCTCTCCATGTGCTGCTCTTCCTGTGCTTTACAGGCCACCTGTGAACAGGAGTGACAGCCTTTTCTTGAGCCTCAGCCCTGTGCATGCCAAGGGCCTGCATGCCCTCATAGAAGGGCAGCACTTGTCCCAGCTGCAGCCTTTCCCAAGCCAACCCTGAAGCAACAGCTGTGCCCAGCACCTGGGTGCTACTGTCAGGGTCAGTGCTGGTGCTGGGGAGCTGCTCCCAGGAAATCTGCCCTTCCCTCAGCGCTTCTACTTGAGTGGTTCATTTTCTGAGCCAGGGTTGTGCTGCAAGCCTCAGGGACAGCATCTGTTCCTGTACCTGGAAGGAGTACCACTCATTTTAGATAGTATTGTGCTGCAGTAGGAATAAGAAAAATACTCTTGAGTTGCTGCAGTACTTCAGCTCTTCTAAAACTGCACAATCTTCCCCCTCTTAGGCTGAATCCATGAATGGGGTTGGGGAAACACTGTAGCTGGATGTAAAATAATTGCCTTCCCTTTCTTCTACCCCTTAGATTTGCTCCATGGCTTAGAGCTGTCTGAAATACATATCCTAAAGAAGTTACAGGCACTTTAAGGAATGTGAATCTTAAAATCATGTTTCCTGCTCAGTTACATCTCCTGTTGAAGAAGGGCCAAACTTAGTATATCTGGCCTTGGTGAGCATTCCATTTAAAATCAATCATATGTCTGCCCTGACAAGCCTGTAAAATAAGGCCAGTAATTTAGTTATTTAAAATGAATAGGAACATGAAGCTTTTTAGCTCTTAAGTTAAAATCCCTCCTATTTATAGCATTTGTGCACCTTTCATGATGGAAAGTGCTGCCTTACCTCTAGAAATTATAGCAGCTCTGCTCCTGCCTTCTCATCCACTAAACATTCATCATGAGACTGAACCTGCACAGGCTGTGTTGAAGAGGTCCATAATGTGCTGTGTGGGCCCAAAGCAAAGGCAGAAACTCCAGAAATAAACTCTCTCCCCTATGCTGAGGAAGGAGCCAGAGTTCTGAAACCTTCTGGTGTAGAATGCTGGTGCTGGTGTTTGGCCATATTTGGACCCAAATCAAATTATGCAAATGGACTGGATCTTTTAGGATATATGGAAATACGGATATATTTTCCATCTGTTTTCTAAAAACCTCCTGAATTTGAGACAGCCGTCTTCCAAAAGGAGAATGTTGAATGCAAAGGAAGTTCCAGTTGTGTTCGCTGTCAGATCCCGAGTGGTCATTTCATCCAGAGTACTGGCCAGGAGAATCATATCTGCCTCTTAGTAGAGCATTAACAGTCACATTTTTCCCATGGGAAAGAGGTAAAGCTTGTAAACTAAGCTGCTCTATGCAGTGCAGAAAGCCTGGTTGAAGATGGATTAATTTCACTGGTAGCTAAACCAGCTGGATCTCTGGCAGGTCCAGAGCACTAGCGCTGTATATCCTCTACTGCACTGTCCACGATGAGCAGTGTGAACTTCCTCTAACTATGTCAAATTCAGTGACCAAATAGTTTGTCTATAGCTTTCTGGGGTATGAGCTCCTGTATGTATAATAAAGTTTATTTTTCAGATGGAATTTGTGTAATTTTCATGTAACTGTCCAAGTGAAGAGTGTAGTGCTGCTGCATCACCACACCTTGTGTGGGACACGGTGGGACTGCAGGTCTCTTGTGTGTGCTGCCTTGTGTGATGGTTGCAGAAGCTCTGTTTCTTTATATAGTGTGAATGCCTAGGTGATGACCTTTTTTCCCTATCTCACCTCTTGCTCAGCCTTTTTCAGCTGACAAAATAAGGAAATAGCACTTGAATAGGCAATGTCTCATGGTAGGGGTGTGTGGAACTAATGATTTTTAAGGTCCCTTCCAACCCAAACTATTGCATGCATTGTGAAAGCAATTCCAGTAAAACAGTATGCACTAGGGTTTACTTTTCCACATTTGCCTGAACACTGCACCCTGTTAAGAGTTGTGCAATCCCAGGAGAGATACAGAAGTTGGCAACAGTGAGCTGGAACATGCTGATAATTCCCATGGGACAGATAAACTGTCCCAACTTTCTGCAGCCTAAATCAGGTACCCTTGTTCACAGTCACTACTACAGTCCCCCATCACCATTGGAACAAAAGCCAGAATTGGGGTGTTGTAAGGTTGTAGGTAATGTTTCCACTGTGTTTAAAAGGAGCAAGGATTATAAGCAAAGCGTGTTTCCCTAAAGCCTGTGCATTTTTTCCTGAACTGAAGAAAGACATGATTCTAATGCCTCAGCTACCTTTAAATGCTTTACACCTGCAGATAGAACATTTATAGCTTAGATTAAATAGAGGAATAAAACCTCAAAAGGAACTCCTGGTCTGACTGAACAGCTTTGTGATTTGACATGATGAAAGACGGAGCCTTTTAGCTGGTGTTTCCTGTCACAAACATTTCAACGTTTTGTTTCTTCTCCAATGGACCTGTCCTGCCTTGATTTTTGATCTGTCTTCACTAGAGCCTGAGAAGGAGGTCAGCCAATGAAGCTGTGCTCTGTCATCCCTGGGACACTCGTGCCAATTCAGCACCAGCACTGAGGCTGGGACAGGGTCTGGTTTTGTGCCAGGAGGAAGGCAACATCAGGGGTAGGGAGGAGTGGGTGCAGGTTACTGCATGGAGCTCTAAGGGGAACCCTCCTGATCCTCTCAGCTCCCCTTGCAGGACAGGTGTGAGGATCTGGGAATGGCAGACAAAGCACAGAAGGAGGTGCAAGGAACCTGTGCAGGTGGCCTCACTGAGGGCAGCTCAACCCACCTCTCATGATGAGAGCTGCAGTGAGGCCAGTGCAGAGGAGAAACGAGAGAAGGGTGCAGTCACAGGTGAGTCACGCCTGAGCACAATGAAAGCACCCATGTGCTAGACTCCTCAGGAGTGCTTGCTGCCTCCCAGGACCCCGAGACAGGGATGTCACAGACAACTGACTTAAGTTCAGTGCAGCCTTTGGACTGTGCCTACTCTGGTTCTTTCTTGTGGGTACTGGTGGTGTTGCAACAAGAAGTCCAAGCTTGATCGAAGGAGTTTTCAGGGCCCTGGGCAGAATGGGAAAAGGTTCAGGAGCACAGTTAGTGTTCTCAATTCTCCAAGTAATGGGGAGAGATACTGAAAGTAAAAGGCATTCTCAAGACGTGGCTCCAGGATTTGTGCCTCCACCAGAACTTTGTTTTTAATACCCATGTAAGAGTCTTCTTTAAAACACAAGGAGTGCTGGGACCTGATGGAATCCAGTGTGCTGGTGGGGAAGCTCTGGGTCTGCTCTGTATTGGTGTCTCAGAGGCAGCCTGCAGGGGAACTGCAGCACTAGGGCCAGTTCTTCGACTCATGACTTGAGTAGAGCTGGGGGCTGGGATGCAGGAAGTGAAAAAGGCTGAAGTTAAAACAGGAACTCAGAGCAGACACAGGCCCAAAGCTGTTGCTGGAAGCAGGTGCCTGAGAAAAAAGCAGCGAGTTTGCCAGCAGGAACTGGTGAGCCTTTAAAGGTAAGAAAACTTGAGGGGCTTTTGGGAGTGGAAAGGGAGAAATGACTACAAAGAAGTGTAGCGTTTAGTGGGCAAAGACAACTCCTTCCTGACCAAACATGTTTAGGTGGACAGTGCTTGGCATGTGCTTCCCAGGCTGTTGTCCTGTCATCATTGTGGTTCTTGTGTTTGAGGGTCTAAAGAACCACATTTCCAAATCTACCAGCACAGCTGTGCTGTGTGTTAGCCCTGTATTTGTGCTGTAGTGGATGTTTTCCACGGGAAAATGGGACAAAAAAAGGGCTGAGATGCTACCCTGGCTGATATTTCTCTTATAGACTGTGTCCCGAGCCTCAAGATGAGATTACAGCCTGTGCTTTGTCACAGTTCCCATAATGCATGGTGGATACCTTTGGAGAATGGGTGGTCAGGAACCATTTACAGCAGCATTTAAAACCTTCAACCATCTTATTTGAGCTCACATCAGCTGTCCTGATGACGAGCAGTCCTGTGATAGCTGGTTATTACTGCTGGTTTATGCTTTACAAAAATGAGCAACAAACTTAAAATCTTTGGCGTGAGAGATGCCAATAAATGAGGGAGGGAAAAAGGAGAAAGGTGGTGTTAGAGGGGGCTGTGCTGTCTACATGAGCCTTTCTGCTTCCCCTGATTCTAATTGCAATTAGCTGCATTCAGTTTGGCACTGGATTTGCTGTCCGTGGGGAATGTCAGACCAGCTATGGTCCTGAGGCACCTGGAGAAGGCCTAAAACCAGGTCTCCACTGTATATCGGCCTTAGCCCTTGATCTTCTCTCTTAGCTGACTAGCTTGGCCTCTATTTAACAAAAGAAATAATAATCTCTGCTGTGCTCATTTGGTTGCTGTTCTCTTCACTCCCTGGTCTTACAGTGCTGATTCTCCAGAAAGAACAACCTGAAACTCATCTGGAAAGGTCAGCTTAAAACTGAGCAGTGCACTGCACTAAACCATAAGGTTATTCACTTAAGCACTTATTCCCACTTTTGATGTGGAACAGTTAATTACTTAGCACAAACAGAGAATTACTTTATTACTCAGCATAAACATTTTGCTTTCAAAGACAGCAATTGTCCCAAGTGCTCGGGGCTGTCTGAGGCTTCCATACAGCCATGGGAGTGAGGGGCAGCACATGGTAAAAGCTGCTGTTAACTGAAGATCCAGCACACAAGAGGTCTCTTTCTTCCTGTTGATTTGGTCACAGTTTGGTGTGATGGAGAACAGGGCTCAGCTCAGTCTTTCCTGAACATTCTCTTCCATCTTTCTCTATGCTCCACAAAAAATTTGCTTTGGGTGACACAGAGAACTTGCGGTTCCTCAACACTGCAGGCAGTAAAAGGGGCAGGATAGGAAGGGATGGGGCTCTGAAAAGAGTGATTGCTCTGAGGTGTAGGGGCAGCCAACTTATCTTTTCTCTCTCTCTCTCTCATTTTGTAAAAACTCATTTTTTTGGGGGGGAAGGGGAGAGGGAGCTTTTTCATTACAGTTTTTTCATGGTCACCTTGAAAATGAAACATAGATTTCGCATTACTTTTAATTTCCTCTTCCTGAGCCTGTCACTTCCTCCAGGCCTGCAGAAGCGGTTCCACCACAGCCTCAGCCAGTTTAGCCCTACAGTGCTTTTAGCCCCATTTCCCATTTTGTCCACGTGGCAGACATGAACACCACACAGCACCAGCCCTGTCACACCACTGTCCAGCCTTGCTCTAACCCTTCTCTAGGCTATTGGGCAGGGATTAAAAGGTTGTAAAGCAGACAAGAGGCTTGAGGAGTCCACCTGAGTTCCAGCAGCAGTGTCACAGTGCTGGAGCACGCCATAGTATTGTGTGTGACCGTGCTCATAGGGGGAGTAATGCAGGGAACAGCCTCCCACAGCACAGAAAATTAATATGTGTTGGAAAAGCAGAATCTGGTAATTGGATGCAGCATTCATTTACATTATCATAAGGTGTGTGTTCCTGCTGCAGAGTCAGGGTGCATGAAGGCTGCGGTTTACACCTACACTCTCTGTGTGTTTTGCTGTAAGAAGTGCTAGGGCTCAGGAGCAGCTATTTTGGAGTGCCCTGTGCTTTTTGAGGGACAGATGTGTGAGGACAGGTGGCCTGTAAGGGCCCCTTACAGCCCAAGTTCTGCTGTGACTGAGCCATGGGTGGTCCCCCTGGGTGTGACACCATGTCCTTGTTGTGCAGATGTGGAAAGCAGCTGTGGGACACGACGTGTCAGTGAAAGTGGAGGCTCAGGGAGACGACTGGGACACGGACCCTGATTTCGTGGTGAGTGTCTGGTGTAGCAACTTTTGTACTGGTGGTGTGAAGAGCTCCTGGCCCTGGGCACTTGCTCGGGGCTCGGTACAGCTGCAGCACCACTGGCAGGGCAGGATCAACCAAGTGCCATCAGCTCCTCGCAGGTACTAGCAGGTCACCTGTCTGAGCCACTCCTGATGCATCCAAGTTTAATCTCCAGAACTTCCTACATCATTGCACACCTCATGTCTGACCACAAGTAATGGTACTGAAGGAGTACAGAATAGGCAGAGTTTCTTAAACCTGCTCCCTGGTAACTTCCCTTGTCTTCTCTTCTCTTCTACACGTTACAAGACACAGCAAACACATTTTCTCTGTCCCACACGGTTTGTAACTGTACAGAATCCAGGATTTCCCTTGTTCATCTTTTTTCCAGATGAAAAATCCTACTCTATTAACAGTCAACTTGTGCAGGTTGACTGATCAAGGTTGCCACAGATGAAGCTCTGTGCCTCTTACACTCTTGTTTTCTATCTAGTTTGAGTGAGCTGGTGAGGGAGCAGATGGGTTTGGCCTGGGGAACCCCCTGCATTCATACAGGGTCATGATTGTCATTTTCCATTTGGTTCTGTTACTTTTCTAATAAACCTCTCCAGTTGGACATGATTCCTTTGTTTTCGAGGTTCAGTCTTGCCTAAGTATTTCCAGTAAGAAATTCTAGTTTAGGGCAAAAATCAAATTCCTTTATCACAGCTTCAAGTCACTAATGTTTTAGGAAAGATCTACACTGTCGATTTTTTTTTTTTTTTTTACTAATTTATTCTATTTGTGGAAGCATTCAAACTAAGCATGAACAGAAAAAGACTTTGTAGTGATTTTTTCATTCTATTTCATATATACATATTTTCAGCTTTCTTGCATATTAGAAAATACTTTATTGATGCTTCATTTTGCCGAATATATGTTCAGACCTTCCAAAAAGCAACTACACAAGGCTGTGATAGCCAGGCCTGAGGTCATTGCGGTTGTTGGAGTATTTTCCCGAACAGTGAACTCCGCACATTTCGGGTGTCACCTCGGCTCTGCGGAGTGGGTCGGAGCCCCCGGCCCGGCCCTGCCTTGCCCTGCCCGGCGGGGATGGGGTCGGACGGAGCGAACCGAGCCCGTGCGGGCCGGGGCTGACGGCCGCGCTTCGTCCCGCAGAACGACATCAGCGAGCGGGAGCAGCGCTGGGGAGCCAAATCCATCCAGGGCTCCGGCCGCGCCGGGCACATCGAGTGAGTGCGGCCCGGGAGCGGGACCGGGGAGTGGGGGG